GCCGCACATGCTCTCGTCCGAGAGGGTGCGGTACAGCGACCGGCGCGGGGACAGGTTCCCGTAGAAGGAGAACTAGGGTTCAAACACAGGGCGGGAGGACACAGACGTCAGGCAGCTGGAAACACAGACTGAGGGGACAGTAAGTGGGGTCACAGCGCGGAGCCAGCCCGGGGTCGCCCCCCGCACGTGGGTCCCCGGGGCAAAGGCAGGAGGCCTCCGGGCTCTATGGGATTTGCGTGCAGGAGGCAGCCGATCGATGACTCTCTCTCACCCATTGATGTTTCTCTCTCTCCCTCTCCCTTCCTCCCTGAAATCAATAAAAAAATATATTTATTAAAAATCACTGGTACAGCCCTAGCCAGTTTGGCTCAGTGGATAGAGCATCGGCCTGCGGACTGAAGGGTCCCGGGTTCGAACCCGGTCAAGGGCATATGCCCGGGGGCTCGATCCCTGGTTGAGGGCATGCAGGAGGCAGCTGATCGATGATTCTCTCTCATCTTGGATGTTTCTATCTCTCTCCCTCTCCCTTCCTCTCTGAAATCAATAAAAATATTTTTTTAAAAAACCACTGGCACGAAGTCATTCTGTGAGATAGTGCCGTGAGTTAGACACGCACAGCTTTCTCACTCGGAAACGCTAAATGGGCCCTCCCTGACCTCGGGAGTGGAGGGGCTGTCATTTCAGGCAAGATATCCGAGCCCACACGGAACGCTTGGCTTGATGCTAATCGGAAACGACTCCATGTTGATATCAGGCCAATTCTGTGCCAATCAGCGGCCGGTGAGGCTCAATCTAATCTAAACAGTGACACACTGATTGTGAACGCTCGCCTCCCAGGCCACGCAACAGCTACGAGAAATGGACAGGCTACGCTGTCCACCTTATAGTATCACTTGCAGGAGACAGTCACAGTGGCTGAAAACTTAATCTCAGTCGTCGATCATCACCAGCGGTAAAGGGACCATTACGATGACTGTGCATTAAAGCACAGATAGGGTAAGGGAAGTCCTTCCTAAAGAAGCAAGTAGTCAAATACTAAAAAAAAAAAAATTAAAAAAATAATAAAATAAAATCTGGATTTCCAGCTACTTCAGCACACTGACCCACACTCCTTTGACATGAATAACAGCAAGAGCCAGAATGTTTGCATGAAACAAATATAGAAATGTTACTGACACGTGTGAATGCAGCCAGGCGGCTAAAAATACCCCTATTGTACGTGTCCCCTCTGTTGTCAGTCCGTCCCACTGAGGCACCGGCTGAATGTGTGCGACTAGAGTTAAATTTACGCCATGAAAAGGAGGTGGTCTGCCTCAGAGGAAAAACCCACACGTGTCAAGGAGACGTTCATGCCTATTAATAGAAAAGGGACTGGACTTTGCCTACGGCAGTCTGCACCAGCTCACGGCCCCGCATAAGCGACTGGACGCAAGTTAGAAAGAAAAGGCTCAGCCCGGCCGGCATGGCTCAGTGGTTGAGCGTTGACCTGTGAACCAGGAGGTCTGGGTTCGATTCCCAGTCAGGGCACATGCCCGGGTTGCAGGCTGGATCCCCAGTAGAGGGTGTGCAGGAGGCAGCCGATCCATGATTCTTTCCCATCATTGATGTTTCTACCTCTCCCTCCCTCTCCCTTTCTCTCTGAAATCAATAAAAATATGTGTTATTTTTAAAAATCACTGGTACGAAGTCACGTAGCGGAGGTTGTCGGAGCCGGGATCTGAGGCCGGGCCCTCAGATTCCAGGCCGCCTGTCCGTGCGGGAAGCTGCCCTTCCCGGCCTCCAGGCTCGCTCTGCTCACTGACAGAGCAAACGGGGAATGGCCAGCCGTGCCCGGAGCGGCTGGTAGGATGGTGAGAGGTAACGCACGCAGAGGCACTCTGGGCATCCCCAAGTCTCTAATGTAGAGTTCCCTTTCGTTTCCAGAAACTCAGCCCCCCAGAGCCGCTGACCTTTCTCCTCCCCTCCTCTGCGAAGGGGCTGTCGGGGAGCATCAGCTTCACAAAGTCCTCCTTCGACAGAACGTGCTGAGTCTCCGAGCCGGCTTCTCCCGCCGCTGTTGGGTGCTGAGCTGCCGGGGACATGAGCTCCATCTCGGCGAACAGCCTGTGGGCGCAAAGGAGAAGGACGTGAGAAGCGGTGCCCAGGGGTCTGCAAAGCGCCCGCAGCGGGCGTGAGAATGGATATCCCGTAAGCAGACTCAACCACTACGCATGCACCACGCACGGCCCTGGACTGCTCAGTCCCGTGGCGTCTGCTGCACCAGCTCCGCACCCCCCCCGCCCCCCGTCTGTGTGTGAAAGGAGTCAACTGCACAGTCAGACTCCTGCATAATTCAGAGACGAATCCCATCCCCAAGACCCGAATGAGAAGAAACGCAGCCAGCTTTTACAGGAAGGCTGCGCTTCTCCTCCCCTGCCCGGCCGGTGTGGCTCAGTGGTGAGCATCGACCTATGCTTCCCGGTCAGGGCACGTGCCCAGGTTGCGGGCTCCATCCCCTGTGTGGGGCGTGCAGGAGGCAGTCAATCCATCGATGATTCTCTCTCATCACTGATGTTTCTATGTCTCTCTCCCTCTCCTTTCCTCTCCAAAATAAATAAAAATGTTTAAAAATAAAATAAAATAAGGTTGCGCTTCTCCTTCCCTAATCTGTGTCAGAAAACACAGTTTCAATCGTTCACCTGAGATCCTCGTGCTCCTGGGAGGACACACACCCCTGTGCTTCCCAGAAACACGAGCCAGCCGAAGTCCTCCTTCGACAGAACGTGCTGAGTCTCCGAGCCGGCTTCTCCCGCCGCTGTTGGGTGCTGAGCTGCCGGGGACATGAGCTCCATCTCGGCGAACAGCCTGTGGGCACAAAGGAGAAGGACGTGAGAAGCGGTGCCCAGCCGTCTGCAAAGCGCCCGCAGCGGGCGTGAGAATGGATATCCCGTAAGCAGACTCAACCACTACGCATGCACCACGCACGGCCCTGGACTGCTCAGTCCCGTGGCGTCTGCTGCACCAGCTCCGCACCCCCCCCGCCCCCCGTCTGTGTGTGAAAGGAGTCAACTGCACAGTCAGACTCCTGCATAATTCAGAGACGAATCCCATCCCCAAGACCCGAATGAGAAGAAACGCAGCCAGCTTTTACAGGAAGGCTGCGCTTCTCCTCCCCTGCCCGGCCGGTGTGGCTCAGTGGTGAGCATCGACCTATGCTTCCCGGTCAGGGCACGTGCCCAGGTTGCGGGCTCCATCCCCTGTGTGGGGCGTGCAGGAGGCAGCCAATCCATCGATGATTCTCTCTCATCACTGATGTTTCTATGTCTCTCTCCCTCTCCTTTCCTCTCCAAAATAAATAAAAATGTTTAAAAATAAAATAAAATAAGGTTGCGCTTCTCCTTCCCTAATCTGTGTCAGAAAACACAGTTTCAATCGTTCACCTGAGATCCTCGTGCTCCTGGGAGGACACACACCCCTGTGCTTCCCAGAAACACGAGCCAGCCGGCCACACCCCGGATCTCGGGGACGCAGGGAGGGCCCAGGGAGCCCGGAGTTTGGGAGTAATCAATCCTGGCGCGTGCCAAGCAGGTTTTATCACCAGCCATTCCGCAGAGCTGCCGGGATAACTAAGGCAGCTGTCTCCCTTCATTATCAGCACATAAAAATGCATTTATGCGCAACAAAAGGCTGTCTGGCTGAGTTACTGCCTCAGCTCTTTTCCAGGGAGAAAGTCCGTTTGAAGAGGTTTGCTCTGGAGACGCAATCTGAGCAACACAACCCCCTGCGGACGGAGTGAATGAACGGGGTCAGCGAGGCGACCGTCAGCCCCAGGACCGGAGACATCGCTCCGGGAGGCCAGGGTCGTGCCACGGGGACGAGGAGTTCCAACGCGAGGCGCCGTCAGTGCGACCGCTCCCTGGGAAATGATCCGATGAGAGACTCACAGACTCGCTCGGAAGGAACAGTGATGCCTCTGGGAATCTCTAGGCTTTGGCTCGGTTCCGAGGCGCTCGGGGGTCCTGCAGCCTCGGATCCTGGAGCCCCAGCCACACGGACGCGAGCAGACAGCGGTGTGAAAAGCAGCCGTTAAAACGTTTGAAACGTGTTTGGAGACGTGGTTGGCCTGGGGGATGGCAGGGCATGAGAAAGGGGCCACAAGACGCGCCCTGGCTTGGGGGGCTCTGCACGAAGCCACAGAGGGACCCACGGGGGTGTGATGATGAGGCTTCCGGGCAGCGCCCAGCTTCTGACCGGGACGTGGCGCTGGGAGGCGCTCCAGGCACCAGGCCCAGGTGCCGCCAGTACCTGCCGCATGAACATCTAACACCTACACTGGCGGCCCTTGAACAGCACAGGGGTCAGGGGCGTCGACCCTCCACGCAGTCAAAAATCATGCATAACTTTTGACTCCGCCCCCAATTTACTAATAGCCTGCTGTTGACTAAATTAGTCAAGTAACATAGGTTTTGTATGTTATACGTATTCCATATTGTTTTCCTATAGTAAAGTAAGTTAGGGAAAAGAAAATGTTACTAAAAAAATCGTAAGAGAAAATACGTGTCTGATAGGGTACACATTTATTGAAAACATCTGTGTAGAGTGGACATGCGCAGCTGAAACCCATATTGTCCAGGGTCAACTGTAACTCCTAATAAAATGCGCTATTCTAGTTTTCCTTCATGCTGGCATGAAAATCAATAGCCTCTCCTGCTAAATTAGTAATTTTACTAAAACTGCCAGGTGATGTGACAGTAAACATGCCCCCAGGGCCTACTTTGTGGCCATGACTAGAGGTGAGCATGGCGGATGCTCCAGAGGGCCCCGGTCTGGGGTATGCACATGCACGTGTTTGTTCATGTGTGTTCATGTGTGTGCGCACGCGTGTGTGCGTGTGCATGTGCAGGACTATAGATGAACAGTCCTCCTTCCCTCCCCCCCAAACCTAACCACTGAAGGGAAGTCACAGTCCTGCTGAAACTGGGTCACGTGAACAGCAACTCTAACGAACGCACTTGGATTCTGTGGGAACTCAAATTGTCCTTGAACTTGTTTATTCCCAGAGTCGATGCTGATGCCACCGACAGCATATCATCGAGACGCCTCCACTGCGGGCAGCTTTTTGACTAGAAGTACAGAGAGCAGGGATTGCTTTTAAATTTATATGTAAAAATCAAGGAAAGAGAAGACTTTTAAAGAGAAATATAAATGCCGACATTTAGAGAGTTTTACAAAGATGTTTCTAGATTGTTCTTTTTTATTTTTTTAAATATATTTTTATTGATTTCAGAGAGGAAGGGAGAGGGAGAGATGGAAACGTCAATGATGAGAGAGCGTCACTGATGGGCTGCCTCCTGCAGGCCCCACACTGAGGATCGAGCCTGAAACTGGGCATGTGCCCTGACCAGGAATCGAACCGGGACCTCCTGGTTCCTAGGTCGATGCTCAACCACTGAGCCACGCCGCTCGGGCTAGATTATTCTTTTTTTAGAAAATACATTCTGTTGGGGGGATACAAGCGCTCAGCCCCGGCTGCCTGGAGGGGACCCGCGGCCACCTTACCCTGGACACTCAGGCACCTCGGCCTCCTCGGGCGGGGGGCTGCCTTCCGACTTCTTCCAGCCGATGACGTACTTGCTCACTGCCCCTTGGCGGTGGTAGGCCTTGGACATGGACCCGGGCACCGGCGGGCCGCCGCTGTGAGCCACGATGTAGACTTTGGACGTGTCCAGGGACCCGGTGCTTTTGGAACAGTGAGCGGAAGGGCTGCCTGAGTGGTGTGAGCCGCTGAGGAGAGAACAGACAAAAGGTGCCATGCAACCGGAGTTCAGTGGTGCTGGCTCGTCCCCAGGCTCACAGCCGCCCGCTGCAGAAGCCTCTGTTTATGTCTGCGGCCTGTTTTCCTGTTCCATGTCCCCTGCGTGCCTGCAGCATCCTCCTGCCCCAGGCACGCAGCTTGCACTGGAGCATCCTTAGCCCGGGGGGGTCGGGCGCTCTGACACGTCCCTGCTTCCCGCTGCTCTCAGAGGCGGACAGGCGTGAGCGTGTGGCTGTGAGCTCGGGAACATGCCTGGTCTTGCTCTCATTGGTGGGCAGGAGTGAGCACAAACACATGGCTTGTTCGTGTGCAAATCTCACAATTCGAGACATATCTCACCTGCACCCTGCTCCTTTTTCAGGCCTCACCCCACCCCACCCCACAGGGGAGGCACGGGGCCTAGGTGATTCCCCAGGTGAGGGGCCCGGGGCCCAGGTGACCTCGCAGGTGTGGGCAGCGGGGCGGCAGGCACTCACCTGGAGTGAGAGGAGA